GGTGCGCTCCTGATTTCATGGTTTATTGCAGCACGTTTGTCTTTTGTGGTTTGCTGGTCGAGCACGTTTATTTGTTGACGATCGTCTGATTGATTGGTTGATGGATTGATTGATTGATTGATCGATTGAATGAATGATTGATTGATTGATTGGTTGACTTTTTGGTTGATTGATTGGTTGACTTTTTGGTTGACGTTCTGGTTGACGTTTTGGTCGACTTTTTGGTTGATTGATTGGTTGACTTTTTGGTCGATTGATCGATTGGTTAAGTGACTGATCGGTAGGGTCGGGACCGATCTGGTTATCAAAACAGAGTCATTGACGAAAGAAAGCTGTTGAGAAAATATGGTATGAGTTGGGGAATTTTGTCGTGCAGTGCAGTGTAACGTTATCCCTTTTGTTTTTCTGCCATCCTTTTTTTTTTTTTTGGGTGAATTATTTTACTCTCCTTTTTTTTTTTTGGGTGAATTATTTTACTTTCTCCTTTTTTGGTTGCCCTTTGGGGAATTTTGTGGTTTTATATTTATTTTCTCTACCTATGTTGGTCTACTGGATTTGATAATTTCGGTGGGTTCGATCCTCAGATCGATTGATCTTCGACCGTTTTACTGATTCATCATCATGGCGCACGAGATGACCGAAGATCAGATCTCCGAAGTCAAAGAAGCTTTCAACGCTTTCGACAAGGACGGCGATGGCCGCATCACGACGAAGGAGTTGGGCAGAGTCCTTCGTCAAATCGGTTACAGTCCCACCGACCACGAGCTTCAGGACATGATTAACGATCTCGACGCCGACGCCAATGGTACCGTCGAGTTTGGTGAATTCCTCAACCTCATGTCCAAGAAGATGAAGGACTTAGAGTCGGAAGAAGATGAATTGAAAGAGGCCTTCATGGTGTTCGACAAGGACCAGAACGGTTTCATATCTTCTCAAGAGCTGATGTACGTGATGATGAACCTGGGCGAGAAACTGTCTAAAGAGGAAGCAGAGGAAATGATCAAGGAAGCTGGTAGCCAAAGCGACGGCCAGATTAACTACGAGGAGTTTGTTAAAGTTTTGTTAGCCAAATGAAATAAAAATCAAATAATTTCGGAAAGGGTTAATTGTTGGTTTCCTTGTGCCGAAATGAAAAGGAAACACGATGAAATGATTTGATTGGTTCCGCAGCCGCCTGTGGGGGAGGGGAGGAGGGGGGGACGGGGGGGGCAGGGGGTTAATTTCCTCCCTTCTCCACCTGCCCCCCCCTCTCTCCTCTCGCTCTGCAGACCTTTTGTTTTGTTTTGTTTTTTTCCCCGTCTCTGCAAACTGTTAAGGGAGGGTTCAGCCTCCTTGGGCAAGGTCTGACCAGCAAAGAGAGATTGGGGTAAGGGCCTGAATCTGGATGTGTTTTAGGCGGAGATGGGAGAAAAGCAGATCAATCGTGATTTTCTGCATCTCTCCACAAACACGTCCAGATTCAGGCGTTGAATCCGAACCTTTTTGTGAGAGGGATCTCAACCCCTGATTAAGCATTGGGTGAATAAACTCAGACGACACAGTCTGTCACAACTTCCCCTCCCCGTTGTTTCTCCTTTTTGTTTCTTTCTGCCTACCCCTATGGTTCACCGAGCAGTCCTTTTTTTTTTTCCTTTTTTTTTTTAATTATTTGGACGAGTTTTCGATTCATGCTTGTCGCCTTTTTTTTTTTTTTTTTTTTTTTTTTAAATTTGGACTATTTCTCGATGAATGCGTGTCATCCTTGTCCAGGCGCCATGCTAATCTACCGGTAGTCTGTATCGTTCTGTTCCATTTTTAACGGATCTCTTGGAGGACACCGACCAGTTTTCTGCGATTACATATAATGTTAAATCAACTTAACTGTTTATAATAAAAAATATTAAATTAAGAAAAAAAGAAAACGATTTGGTCCTCTTTTTGGTTGTCTTTGTTTATTTATTTTTTACAATGCGTGTCATCCTTGCTCAGGGGTCATGATTTTTTTTATTTTTTTTTTGTGTGTCATCTAATTTCGTTTGTTGTCACTGTTCTTTTTTTTTTGTTTTTTTTGGTCTCTGTAATTTAATAAACTAATTTGAAGTTTTCCCAAAGAGTTCTGTCGTGGAACATTGGATGGGCAAGTGAGTGCATATTCGCACTAGGACTATCTCTGGATGCACCTGACCCGAGTTACAGCCTGACTTGAATGTATATGACCGCTATTACGTACAGAGCTCAGTCGAAAAGGTCCCTACAGTGAATATGTCCCTGAAAGTGATCTTGGGTTTTATTCTGCAATTGTTTTTTTTTTCCTTTTTTTTTTGGTGAGTAATTTTCCACACTTTATTTTTCAATTTTTCTCGCATTGTTTTTTTTTTTTTAATTGAGTATTATGTATTTTTCCTTGTTATCACCATCGCAACGGCTCTCGAAAGCAATCACCACAGTGAATGAATAAATAATATCGAGTTTTTTTTTTTTTTTTTTTTGTCTTGTTAGTCACGTTGTTCTGAAGTCTGTTTTGTTTTCCCCCCTTTTTCTTAAAAAAAAAAGGGGGTGTCTTACGTGATGTTATCGGTGTAATGCACAATATTGGAGCTTTATTTCCGTTCTCTTTTGGTAAATATTCAATAAGTGATTATTTTTATCTTCTTTTTTTTTTCTTTTCATCATCGTCATCGCCTTGCCCCCCCCCCCCCCGCCCCCCCTCTCCCTCCTTTTAGCATCCGCATCCTTCCGCTGTCCCTGTTAGACCACAATTGCTTTTCTCATCCTTCTTCCCATCTCTCGTTTAAGTTGAAGGTCACAGGTTCGAATCCTATCAATCCATCAAGCATCCTTCTCACCATCTCTCGTTTATTCATCACCTTCACCATCATCTTCACCATCATCTTCACCTTCACCTTCACCATCACCATCACCGTCACCTTCACCTTTCACCATCACCATCACCATCACCTTCACCTTTCACCATCACTTTCACCTTCACCTTCACCTTCATCATCACCACCATCTTTACCTTCACCTTCACCTCTCGTTTTAAGTTGAAGGTTGCAGGTTCGAATCCTATCAATCCATCGAGCATCCTTCTCACCGTCCTCGTTTATCCATCACCTTGACCTACACCTCTCGTGTATCGTTCTCAGCTGCACTCTGTTTCTGGCATCGTCATCTTCGATCAGCAGCATTGGTCACCTACTCGTTCTGTTCTTTTTTTCTTTGCATTTGGGAAAATAAAATCCTCAGGTCTTACTGTCGGATGATTCATCAATCATCCAGCGAGCGTCCATCAATCTATCATACCTTCTTCACCCTGTTGTCCTCCATATCATCATTTTCACCAATCATCTTTCAATCATCCTCAAAACGTCCACCAATTCTCTATTAATCCATCAGTCAATCCATCAATCCATCCATCAATCATCCATCGACATGGATGATCGGCCCATCCATCGACATGGATGATCGGCCCATCCATCCATCAATCAACATGACATCTCATCAGTCATCCATCAGGCATCCATCAATCATGAACACAACATCATCATCATCATCATCATCATCATCATCATCCATCGTCGAAATCTCTCATCATCGTCATCATCCATTATCAACATCATTCGTCGTCGTCATCATGATGAACATCTCCCATCATTACACATCATCAACACCTCTCATCACCATGCATCTCAATCAAGGAGGCATCCTCGTGATGGTCGTCCATCATCATCATCATCATCATTCATCATTTTTACCATCTACATCGCACCATCAGCATGAGGATTGCATCTCAATTTTTTTTTAAATGGTGTACTTTGCACTGCTATTGGAGTCCTTCAACGTTTCAAATTACCCCTTTGACCAGGTAAGTTAGGACAAAGGTGAAGCGATTTGGACAAACGAAAAATCAATTGGACAATCATCAAACCGAATTGGTCAGT